GGGGTTGTTGCTGACAATGATCAGGGCCGATCTGGGCTTCAAACCCATGACTGCAAGGTCAGTGCATGCCCAGGGGGGATAACTCCCTACAGCAAACTGCTGCATCTTAGACAACTGGACCATCCACATCCTCTTCATCATAACGACAGCAACCAAACATTTCCTTCAACAAATCCCTAATATTCACTGACCAGTGGGACCTGTAAATGCCTTTAAACAAGGAGTAGACACCAGGATCCTGTCCTAGAATTGTGGAGAGGGTTGGTTTTAGCGCCGCTCTGAATAGTATTTCAGTCATATCCCTGCGTATCAGCTTCCTGTGAGGGAAATGTCTGAAATGATGTAGGGCGCGTAGACGTTCACAACCGTTGTGAAACACACCAGCATGGACATGGTGCAGACAAACCTGGAAACATAATCAGGGCAAGACTGGGTTCAAACCCATCATCCCTGGTTCGAAACATGTCAGAGGGATACAACTGCACAAATTCTGGCCAACTAGGCCATCTGTGCAACCCCACCTCCCCATTCTGGCCAACTAGGCCATCTGTGCAACCCCACCTCCAAGTTCTGGCCAACTAGGCCATCTGTGCAACCCCACCTCCCCATCAGGAATCACGTAAGAATGAATGTATTTCTTGCACATTATAACACCTGCGGAAGCAACCACCCCAGCACACACACACACACACACACACACACACACACACATTCGACACAGTTCAAACACATACTGACACACACAATCAATCACAATTTTGCCATGTGTAGATCATATTCATGTCAGTTCAGGTAAAATTATCTCTCCACCCAGTATATTATCTTTTTTAAATATTTATTAATTTTATGGAAATGTTTCAGTTCTCCCAGTCCATGAATGTTTCTGTTCTCCCTGAATGTTTCAGTTCTCCCAGTCCCTGAATGTTTCAGTTCTCCCAGTCCCTGAATGTTCTCAGTTCTCCTGAATGTTTCAGTTCTCTCCTGAATGTTTCAGTTCTCCCAGTCCCTGAATGTTTCAGTTCTCCCAGTCCCTGAATGTTTCTGTTTCCATGTTTCTCTCCCAGTCCCTGAATGTTTCAGTTCTCCCAGTCCCTGAATGTTTCCCTGAATGTTTCAGTTCTCCCAGTCCCTGAATGTTTCAGTTCTCTCAGTCCCTGAAGTTCTCCCTGAATGTTTCAGTTCTCCCAGTCCCTGAATGTTTCAGTTCTCCCAGTCCCTGAATGTTTCAGTTCTCCCAGTCCCTGAATGTTTCAGTTCTCCCTGAATGTTTCAGTTCTCCCAGTCCCTGAATGTTTCAGTTCTCCCAGTCCCTGAATGTTTCAGTTCTCCCAGTCCCTGAATGTTTCAGTTCTCAGTTCTCCCAGTCCCTGAATGTTTCAGTTCTCCCAGTCCCTGAATGTTTCAGTTCTCCCTGAATGTTTCAGTTCTCCCTGAATGTTTCAGTTCTCCCAGTCCCTGAATGTTTCAGTTCTCCCAGTCCCTGAATGTTTCAGTTCTCCCAGTCCCTGAATGTTTCAGTTCTCCCTGAATGTTTCAGTTCTCCCTGAATGTTTCAGTTCTCCCAGTCCCTGATTGTTTCAGTGTTCCCAGTCCCTGAATGTTTCAGTTATCCCTGAATGTTTCAGTTCTCCCTGAATGTTTCAGTTCTCCCAGTCCCTGAATGTTTCAGTTCTCCCAGTCCCTGAATGTTTCAGTTCTCCCAGTCCCTGAATGTTTCAGTTCTCCCTGAATGTTTCAGTTCTCCCTGAATGTTTCAGTTCTCCCAGTCCCTGAATGTTTCAGTTCTCCCTGAATGTTTCAGTTCTTCCAGTCCCTGAATGTTTCAGTTCTCCCAGTCCCTGAATGTTTCAGTTCTCCCAGACCCTGAATGTTTCAGTTCTCCCTGAATGTTTCAGTTCTCCCAGTCCCTGAATGTTTCAGTTCTCCCTGAATGTTTCAGTTCTCCCAGTCCCTGAATGTTTCAGTTCTCCCAGTCCCTGAATGTTTCAGTTCTCCCAGACCCTGAATGTTTCAGTTCTCCCTGAATGTTTCAGTTCTCCCAGTCCCTGAATGTTTCAGTTCTCCCTGAATGTTTCAGTTCTCCCAGTCCCTGAATGTTTCAGTTCTCCCAGACCCTGAATGTTTCAGTTCTCCCTGAATGTTTCAGTTCTCCCAGACCCTGAATGTTTCAGTTCTCCCTGAATGTTTCAGTTCTCCCTGAATGTTTCAGTTCTCCCTGAATGTTTCAGTTCTCCCAGTCCCTGAATGTTTCAGTTCTCCCAGTCCCTGAATGTTTCAGTTCTCCCTGAATGTTTCAGTTCTCCCAGTCCCTGAATGTTTCAGTTCTCCCAGTCCCTGAATGTTTCAGTTCTCCCTGAATGTTTCAGTTCTCCCTGAATGTTTCAGTTCTCCCAGTCCCTGAATGTTTCAGTTCTCCCAGTCCCTGAATGTTTCAGTTCTCCCTGAATGTTTCAGTTCTCCCAGTCCCTGAATGTTTCAGTTCTCCCTGAATGTTTCAGTTCTTCCAGTCCCTGAATGTTTCAGTTCTCCCAGTCCCTGAATGTTTCAGTTCCATCAAGATGCCTCCTGGCCAATATGTCAGTATATGTGCATCCATGAACACTTACCCTGCATACAGATGAGCATCACAGGTTTATTCCAGCCCCGATCCTACTACCTGCTACTATCATTAAGGGCTGTTAATACATCATCAACACACTCTCACAGTTATGTTAAATCATACCGCCAATTCCCCAAGGCTTTCTAGCTTTCTGACACAATAAAGAAGAAATCCAATTCAAAAACAACTTCTCAAATCGACAACTTTCATAACCTGGCTGATCGGCAATCAAACTTCGTTTATTTGTTTTCATTACTGGCAGGAGCTGGCCAATTAAAATGTCTTTTTTGATGTTATGTGCAAGGGAAATCATCAAAAAACACTTTCATCGCTTCTTCTCATGGTTAATCTGTCTGTTTTGCTGCATAAGACACATTAGCACATTAATATTTACATACAGCGCAATATGGCTGTCTCATTTTCACATCATTTGTCATAGTCATATATTGATAATCTTCGCCAACTTTTTCTGCAACAATCATTCAAGTTGGAAGAGGTGTGCTCTCTCCGACCCTGCCCAATGTGTTAAACTCATTGGTGACACAATCAAAACCAACGCTTCGGCACACGTGCGTGTTAAAAACAATTTTGTAAAGTTTTCATCTATAACAGATGACTTTGCCAAAGCTTCCTCATGAAGTAAACTTACAAAGTCAAATGGTAGGAAAAAGTTTAATCACTCCCTATTAAGCTCCCAAGTTTAATCTGAGAGGAGTATTATGAGTTTTTGGGAAAAATGTATTTTCAATGAAGGAACTTTCTGTTAGACAAATCAGTGTGTGAGGTTGTAATATCGCCAACTGTGCCTGAGCAAATTGTGGCATACATCCACGCATCAATACATGTCCTGTTATCCATATTACACAAGCGATCAGTCCCACTGCAGTTCATTACCCATACCAGAGAGGTTTCAAATGTCAATATTCTCAATTGTTTGCGTTAACAAACTTAAACACAGAATTTAAACACTTTTTAACATTCCCGGAGGCGGGTAAAAAGTATGGTGGAAGTTTTTCACCACTAGAGTGTTTCATATCACTGAAATAGTTGTTGGGGAACCATTCTGAGAGAGTAAGTTGGGATTTAATGCCACAACAGCATTTTGGTCACTAAAGTCAGCCTATAGATGTTTTTGTGTGTTTCTTTCTTGTTTACAGCGGTACTCAGGAATATTAAAGCTTTATGACAGTGGTCCATAAATAAATGGGTCTGGACCAGACATTCCAGTGATTGATAGCATGAGCATCCGGTTGGATGATGCATCAATCAAGTCTTTTAGTCTGACCACCTAATCAGGTTAGTGGCCTCTTATGGCAAGAATGGAATCCTGGGCCTAGATTTTCGAAGCTCTCTTAGCGCTAAGATAGTCGTAAGTTAATGTTAAAGTATGGCACTTACGACTATCTTAGCGTTAAGATAGCTTCGAAAATCTAGGCCCTGACAAACAATTCCAACCCAGACATACATCGGTAAGCTCTTAGATGGAACGCTTTGAGTTATACATGTTAGTGTAACTTGGGAGGCAACTTGACAGAAGAGACTTAGGTCCAGACAGTGGACTGAGAACAGAAATTGGGGTAGGAAACATGGATGCAAGTCTTATCACCATTCTGGATATTTTTCAATTCAATTGTTTTTTAAATACAAAAAATGTTTCCACGATATTATGTCTGTGCATGAACCAAATTGGTATGACCCATCACCCTTATCTTTACAGCAATCTAACCAAATTTGTGGCTCTAAAAAACCTGACTTATACTCATTAAATGTATGGTGCACTTTCATGGTCGATATATAAACTCTTTTTCATTCAACACCACTGCTAAATGAAACTTAGAATAAGGCAATCTGCATCTCCTTTGTGAAAGCACTCCATTCAGCCGTGGTGATGGAGACTCTGATTGTCTAGATTCTCATCCTTGTTCAGTTCTGAATTCCAGGTGTGATTGGTGAGTGAATTCAGTGATTACACACAAGAGATGATCCATCTAGGTGGACCTATCAGCTGACTGCCACTCAGTAGGGTTGGGCAGGACATATTTCTCACCTCATAAACATAGCATAATGTCCATACAGGTTTGAAGGAAAAGAACTGCTGTGTCTTGTTTGTTACCACTGTTCTGTTTTGGATGTTCTTAAATCATGAGATAGCACATCCTGAATATCTCAAAACCAGGAATATTCCATTCTATCAAAAAACAAGCGAAAATTCCCACTCTTTTCAGTGACATCATGGCAAAAAAAGTATCTGTAAACTATCTGTTTTGTTTATTATTTTATATCATTCATAATGAGTGAGTTGGGGGTTTTTCAGACACAATAACACAAGCAACCAGCCATACGCATCCATCCAATCCTCATTTCTGCTTCCCGACAACCACATGAAGTTTTCACAACCCACCTGCTGACATGAAGATGCTGCCATGGGGGAACATGACGAGACTCTCTACCGGGTACCCATGGTCGACCATCATGGCGCTGCCCTTCACCCGAGTGTCAAACATCCGAACAGTGTGATCATAAGAACCTACACAAAACCCGAACTGTTAGTACCAGGATCTACTCACGTGGGAAGAGAAAATCATTATTTTTGTTAAACACATATTCATGGCTCTGACAGAACACTTGACATAAAAAGTAGCTATGGCAGATACTGACTACAGATATAATATATTTCTTTTCCGAAGGAATTTGACTCTAACTTGTTTTATTTGTCCTAATGTGTTTCCCTGATTTTTCCTGTATATATTCTGAACTGTTTTCCACACAATTTCATATTACCTACTGGTACTATTTCTGTTAAAGAGGTCTCATAAGTAATGAATACTTTTACACACATAACAAAAATAGTCTTGGACATTCACACCATGAGAAACAAAAGTAGTTGGCAGATACAGGTATTCCTGCAATGTGATTGTCTATTTATCCATTAAACATTCTTTTAAAACATCCACAGTCCTCCCTGATAAGAATACAATGATATTTATCAACTTATTTTCATCGTTCAGAGCCTGTGGGTTCACAGGGTTAAATGTAACTTCCTGAACATTTAACAAGACCAAGTTTGGCAATAAAGGGAGATAACTCCTCTGCTACCTAGCCATGATTCCGACATTGTGTCTCACCTGTGAGGATGATATCTGTACTGGCCATGCTGGATACGCCGCACCTCACGTAGTCCTGAAGAATGACACCAGGCAGTCAGTGTGTGATAACAAAAAACATGACAGGCTATAGAAGAGAACGACATCATTGTGGAGGCATATTTTATGGTTGACTAGGTGAATCTTGTTTCATAATTAAAAAGATTTTGATTGTTTTTTCAGAAGTGAAAAAAAAAATGGATAAGCAATTGTAGAACAGGGTTGAAAGCATATTTTTCTTTTAAAAAAAATTCTAAAAAATATATATTTTCAAAAAGTTAAGAGCATTATTCTTTACTGCAGTTCAGCACCAAAGTGATAGTAACTCCAATAGACTGTACAAGAGAGCCCAAGCTTCTAGTTCCTCTTTCCGTCTGTAAGCAGTGGAACAGACAGCATTTATTTCTTTATCCCCTCCTTACATTAAACTCTTCACATCACAGAACTCATCCCAAGTCAAGACATAACTAACCAAAACTTCTCATATGTACTGAAAACCTAAAAACCATGTTTTAAGTGAAAATGAGAAATATGTTTATAACTTTCCTTGTCTTTAAAAGTATGAGAAATCTGGAGGAGATGGCAAAAAACAGATCCCTACCTCCTGTGAACAGCAATTCTGGGGACACTGACACAATATTTACAACAGACAGAGACCATCCAATAGGGTGGTATCATAACTATCGTAATTGTATTGTAACTGTGTAAAACACAACATGTAGTCATGAAATTCTTCTGAACAAACCTTGCTGTACATGTACACATTCTGTCAATAACAAACACAGGAAACTATCCACTAGGTGTAGTGATTGATGTTTGATATTAGTTTCTGTTTTAGACAATACTTGACAACAGAACATTCTGAAAGGACTTTCAGTTTATTTTCACCACTCTCATTTTCTTTTACCCTCATGTCCTGGAAACATTTTTTTTTCTTTATAAATCCTGAAGCAAAATTATTTTTTCAGTATTTTAAAGATTAAATTAGTTTATAAATACATTGCCCAAGTCTCCCCTGACAAGCAGTACGCGAGCGACCCCCGGGACCATTCCATCCTGGAAGCCCATCTGTGAAATGCTGGGGAGTCTCAGAACATTTCTAACTGCCAACTTTGTCAAAAGTATATTTTTCAAAATGTTTGCTGTTATACATCTTGAAGGATACCTCATTTGAAAAACAACTGAGATTTCTCTCAAAAAATGGTTTTTTAACCAAACATGCTCATCAACTCTCAGCCCATCAAACAAACAACGTATCTCAATCACCATTCGCCTGGTCAAAACTATATCTCCATGGAAACCTGATATTACTAATATAGATTTGCATGCTAATGAAGGTGTATATGTCTGTCAGTTAGATTTTCACCCCGGATATCATTGGTAGTGTTGCTGACAATGCTCATCTCACTCCCACAGATAGGCCTGGGGATTTCCTGCAGTCTGTCTGCATCACACTGACGATTACCATCAAACAATACAGTCCAATCACACCATTGTTTTCTATTTCAAACTTCCTGCTTTTTTGCCCATCCTTTGTGAGTTTACAAAACACATGAAAAAGTAAGTTGGTTCTCTGTGGAAACAATGATAACCCCGAGCTGGGTACTGTTGCTGATCTTTACCGTCCCAACCTCAATACATCACAGTGAACCGAGATCACAACACAGGTAACTCTCAACCCTTCAATCAGGTCGAGGACGCTATAATGCTGGACAATAGATTAACAAGGTGTGAAAACAAACAAACGTTCGCCCCAAAGATGATGCACCTGTACTCCCTGACCAGTGATGAAAGATAAAACCATTCAGGCACAAGGCTTTCTTTCATAGCATTTTTTGTGAAAACTAATTTTCCAAACGTACAACCCTCAGCATTGAAATGTATGCAGAAATGGGTTTCTTTGTTGAAAATAGACAATTAATAAACTCATGTAATACCTTTTGTCAAATTTTACATTTGAGTTGATAAACACAAAATATTTTTAAAAAATAACAAATTTCCAATAAAATATAAATATATAATGTGATTAATAATGTTGAAAATAAAGATAAAAATAAATTGTTTGGTTTCTCATGTTTCCCACTTATGAATGACTATGTGTCTTTCATAACACAATAATTGTTATGATAATCATAACATTCCTTTTCACCATTCCACAGATTGCAACAGTGAAGGAATTCCAAACGATTTCCTCATCTGGCATCTTCCATTGATTCCTGTCAATCTACAGACATCTGGAATCAGTTGCTTCAGGAAAAGATCTCATTACCAAACCATCAAAGTGTTTTAAATGTTTACGGAGAAATATTGCCCAGTTAACATTGGTAGGCTGGGCATTAATCATGTTTCTCTTAAACAATGTAAGAATGCATTAATTTATTCTTCTTTGAACTTAGCAAAATCATAAATAAATATTTTAAAAATCTTTTAGTACCATTAGTGAAAATGTGTTTGGTTGGATTAGGTATGAACAAGTATTTAACTCTGCTAAAAACATATGTTTTGTGTACTAATTACCTAAATACATTTCTGTAATAATTATGTGCTATGCATTTTTCTGAAAAATATTAATTTTATACATAAAATTGTTAATTATTTAAAAGTTATTTTCAACACTGTTTGATCAATTTGATATTTAAGACCTTCTGGTAAACTATATTGTGGCAGCCTTTTAATAATCAATAATTTCTACAGCTAGGACACTTCTTGAATTAATATCTACAATATGTTTTCTCAGTGAAGAGTCATAATGTGGCTTGAATTTCTTTCACTGTTCTAATAAATAGATTGCCTTTTAAAGTATTATAAAACCCAACCATATGGATAACAACAGATATCTGACTGTTTTCCATATTTCATGATATTTAGAGAGAGTCTCATAAATGAACTATTTGGGATGATAAAGAATAATATTATTACATATAATACGGACCATATCAATCAATCAATCAAATATTTATTGTGCAAACATTCCATACAGAAACAGTGACAATATTCTATAAACTACATATAAAATTACCTGATCTTAACAGTGTATTTTCACGTTTTACAAACAAGCCTTGCCTAATTTTTGGCAGAAATGTGCAAGTAGAGTTATACTTAAATTAAGAAACAAGTTACGTTTTGTGCTGAAAGAAATTCACTTCAAGATCAATTGCTTTATTGATTGTGTTTGACCTGAAATAGAATAAAATGTCAGTCACATTTACTCAAGTAGCATGACTAAAGACATTATGTTTATTTGTCCATTTCGTGTATACAGATATCAGTGCATCCCAGTACACAGGACACACCATCCTAATGTCCATCCACCTTGTCTTCAGTTACACAGATAACCAGTGACAGTCTCTGCAGCAGAGCATCAAATGACACATGTAGCCAGGGATGTTTCTAAGTGGCCATCTCTCTCATCAGCTGAGTGTTATAGCTTGTTAATATCACCTGACAATCAGTATCATTTACAACACTGGCTAATAACCTTTCCCCATGTCACCTGTCATTCACACACACCCTGACTGCAAGGGGCAAGTCAATTTCTCGTCAATCTGTCAATCAACATACAACAATCTCTGGTTGGTCAATGCAGCTGGGTTCAGAGGTCAATGAGGAGGTCGAGTGTTTTGGGTCAAGCACCGACCTTGGGGTCATGACCTGTCATGTGCTACCCACATGAAGCTTGTTGCATCTCTTCATCATTGCACATTAAAATGTCACTAAGCTTATTTTTCAGGGAGCAGGGGGGCTGGCTTTATTGGACATGTGGGACAGAGATAAATTCGAGAGAAATCAGGAATGGCTATTGCTTGAAAGAGAAGCAAATTAACTGAATGCTCTCAATACCACATCAGGGATGGGGAAGCCATTTACCAATTAAAATTACCACTTTGTAGATGAATCACTTCATCCCCAGGGGTTCTGGTTACAACTTACAAACCCGTTCCAAACTTACTAATTTCATTTATATGCTTATCAATTAGAAAAAGTAATACAAACATTTAATTTCAATAAATCCAAATCCAGTCAAAAAATAAGTCCGAAAACATGCAAAAACAAGGATTGTTTATTCTTCTGAATTTAAAGAGAATTTAAACAAGTTAAAAACCCAGAATTGTTTTTGTTTTTTTTGACAAATTCCTCTCAAGTAAAAGAAGTGGTGACACAAACATATTTTACATAAATAAACATTTTAATTGTTAATCAATAAATCATATTAGGTCTACAATTACAGTTTGATGTAAGTCAGAAGTTGGGGCCAGCACTTACAAATATGAAAATATCATCAAACATGTGGGGGGAAAAACTAGTTGAAATAAAAACCTACGTCCATGAAATATACAACTTCCGGGGAAATCAACATCAATTATTTGGCAATCATCATCAAAAGTGTTCTATTTCTTATGGCAAATTTGATAATAAAAAGACTATTAATCTGCTCGACACATGTTGCAAGACATGGCAACCCCACAGTAGGTATGTAAACTACTCTAGACACGATCGATCAAATTCACAAACTTGTACACAACAGCTATCAAAAACCGATATTTACATTCAGCGTTGATTCCTCCTGCAATGCACAAGCATATCGTTTCTTCCAAGATATGCAACTATTTTCATTCTGCGATTAATGTTTTGAGTCGGAGCCGGAATCCGTATGTAACAAGGGAAACTATTTTCCAGATTAATTTCACACATGAGCAATAGGCAGACAAAATGTGCAAAAAATATTTCCTTTTCAAATTAATTTGCCAAGGACCTACAATTTTAGACTAGTGTTCTGCTCTGTCATCAGAGAGTCTGCCACACTTCTTTCTATAATCTTTCAGGAGAAAAACCCTCACATTTTTTCACTGATCAATTTTGCCAATTAAAGTCGCAATTAAAAGGGAAAAAGGTCTAGCGAAATGCTTTCCCAATTGGCGAATTTCAGTTGTATGAACCACAGGGGGATTTGAATGTAAGGAGTTTATGCTGAGAGTATCTATGTCAATAAGGAACCATCTGACGAGATATGCAGAGTTTGCCAAGCCTGGCTTTGTTGGGAATATGTTAGCACGCTATCACAATATCATGGGATAGATATGTTACCTTCATAAACTACCAAAGTTATATTGGTGGAGAAGAAGAATATTTCCCAGGGAGGACGGGCATCACAATGGTATGGCGGTGTAAATGAACCACATAAGATGGGAAACGAATCGAAAGTTATATCGGGTTTCATTAGAGAATTTGGACAAATTCTACAAGTACGCCAGAAATTCTGAGAATTGTGCAGTAGATGTTGTTAATCATCCCCTGGGCCATGGATCTGACCTCGAGGTCTCCAGATCAAACCTGGTTAACACCAACATTCCCCGACCCCAGGGGGCTTGCATCACCGGAGGGGGATCAAAGCTGATGGGTGGGGAAATCTACAACCCTTGTCAATCCCACATTAATGAAATTAGTGATCGTATTTCATGTAGGAAATATTTACATGGGCTCCATGTTGTTTCAAGTGTGATCATTTAATATAACGACTACAAAGTAAAACAAAGTAAAACAGATACATTTTTTTACATAAGTCTATGAGAAACAGACATGCAGTAAGTCTGGCATTAACCAGGTTATGAATGCAGTAATGAACAAATGTTTCAAATGAATGAGTAAATTTCTGTTCAAATTGGCATTTGTAAAAAGAAATAAGATAATCAAAGACAAAATATCCAACGATTTGTTTTGGAGAAATATACTGGAGTCAATCACACATTTATAGTAGTTCAGATTATTTTTATATAGCAACTATGATATTCCAACAGTGAGTGACAGAAATTATAGCTCATTGCCAAATCAGCACTTCCGCAGACATATAAGCCCTTTCAGATGTTTAAACCATATCATTAAAGAAAGAAACATACAAATAACAAAATATACTCATAAGAGGCCAGAATGTGAGATACATACAACATATCCTAGACCACCAAAGACTACAATGAGTGTTGGAAATTAAACATTTTCTTATCTCTGTCCGAATGTTAAAAGTTAAAGAGTTAATGTGGTCCTCAGATTCAAATACGCTTGGAGAAAACTTAAAGGACCCCACAGCCAGCCTTCTTTCCTATTCTAAAAGCGTTTATTCTAAAAATGAGTTGGGTTTTGTATTGCTTTTAGCGGTATTCAACTAATGTGAGGAAGGGGATCCCAGAAAAGGGCACAACACATTGCATCTTGCAATGCCATTAAGAAACACTGGTTCTTTAATATAGCATAGGGAAACAATAATATTACAGGAATCAGTTTTGACTCAAGAGATGAAAGCAGAAACATTTCTTGAACAGTGTTTCTATAATGATTAATCCCCAATAATCAACTAAATATTTTTTCCATCGTGAGGTGACGTGAAATTGGGTTTTACGTTGTGCTTGAGAATATTTCGATCATATGACGACGTGCATGCGTGTGTATGTGTATGTGCGGCTGCTTGTACTAGCCCAGACTGAAGCTGGTTTTATAGTGCTAGCCCACTGAGATACCATGCCGCAGTGAAGCATGAATACCCCACTCAGACACATTATACTGACTCCGAGCCGACCAGTCCTTTTCGTACCCATTAATGCCGAGAGCCAGGCAGGGACCAACAAGTACCATATTTTAACGTCTTTTGGTATGACGCGGTCAGGGATCGAACCCGCGACCATCCGCTCTCCAGGCGGACGCTCTAACCACTACACCACAGAGGCAGTCTTTTCCATCGTGGATCTAGGAATCAGGAAAAGATGTGTGCAAATAACATCCGAAGTTCTGTTGTCACAGAGCTAAGGTTTCATTTTACAAAAACAAAACTGAAAAAGTAGTGAGGTGCACATCGCCTGCACTCCCCTATCAGATTCCAGAAGTGCCATTCTCTGAAACCATCCAGTCTGTATGTTCTAACACATTCAGTCATAACTGTGCTACAGCAACAGATGACACTATTCCTGTAAGTTCCAAATTACCAGTAAATATTCACTTAATCCGATTTCCTGTCCAAATTTCCCTGAATAAAATCCCCTAAGATTCTTGAAACCAGCAAGTTAAAGTCCGGGGAAACTATCCTTCATCATATCTTACAATCAATGTGACAAAACTGAATTCAAGCGACCTGTACAAAAAGCCACTTGTCATGTCAAGTTTGATGTTTGCATGTCATTAAGTCAACATTCCCAGATAGGTTTCACCTGGAACAATGGTCTGTGGAGGTAATGGTTAATCCTCCTGCAAGGAGACAGGTGAATATTGAAATGTGATCTGGTACATTTCGCCCTCCCCGCCACTTGGCTTGTACACTTCAGTGTCTTCCAGCCATATCATTTGTCTGTGCCCATACACCATCATGACAGGTCCATGTTGTAGATGTTGTTAAGGGGTGAAACAACATTTCCCCATCTCTAGCCTCTATGATACTGTGAAATGTTTAGAATACTGAGCATCAGCTGACTGTAACAGAATGAGGGGAAAGCGGAACCCATCACAAAAAAACATGCCAAAATTTTGCTGTGTTAGAATTTATCATGTCACATTGTGAAAGGGAATCTGGGATCTCACGGAAGAAATTGTCAAACTAAATCTCCAATTTCATCCCCATCACAGTCAACAGAAGCAATTGACACTGTTTAAGGCCCACGCATGAAAAATATTCCCTCATTTCTTTCTTACAAATTCTTTGACTTCCCTTTCCTGCTTAGAATGTCCATTTCAGAGGGTCTGCAATCTCCAAACCCTCATATCTGTCTTCTTCATCAACACAGGAGAATTCTAGATAATCAACTCCGAAACATCAATAGTGATAACATGTCTGCTCACTATAATATACGGTGCTCATATGGATCAATCTAAGTTAGACAGTGTGGAGACAGTGTGAATTGTTTCATATTTATTACAAATATTTACAATTCCGTATTTATCAAGCCTGGTCTTGATGCCACCATATATTCTAATACATATGACATGTGAAAGGCTTTGTTTCATCCAAATTCAAGGGACTGCTTCCTAGCAAACTGTGCACTGTTGTTCAAATATAGTGTTTATTTGACACACTTTGCAAATTTTGTGCATATCAATGCGTCACTTCATCTAAGTCTCGCTGCCATTCATGTAAAAGTAAAAACTGACATCCTTGTTTTAACTAATGGTGTACCTTAGCCATTTAAATGTGTGTGTATGTGAGTGACTGCATGTTTGTGTGTGAACATGTGTGTGCAAATGTGTTTCAAATTGCGTCAGACCGCTTTTTGTCACACACAGAAAGTGTCCACCACACACCGTGACACTTCTTTCAGTCACACATCACACAAACATGCAGCTACACACACATCACACAAACATGCAGCTTCACACACATCACACAAACATACAGCTTCACACACATCACACAAACATGCAGCTTCACACACATCACACAAACATGCAGCTTCACACACATCACACAAACATGCAGCTTCACACACATCACACAAACATGCAGCTTCACACACATCACACAAACATGCAACACACATCACAAACATGCAGCATGCAGCATCAAACACATCACACATGCTAAAACATGCAGCTTCACACACATCACACAAACATGCAGCTTCACACACATCACACAAACATGCAGCTTCACACACATCACACAAACATGCAGCATCACACATCACAACACACAATGCAGCATCACGCCTTCACACACTTCATCACACAAACATGCATGCAGCTTCACACACATCAGCACAAACATATGCAGCTTCACACACATCACACAAACACAGCTTCACACATCACACAAACATGGCCTTCACACACAGCATCAGCTTCACACATCACACAAACATGCAGCTTCACACACATCACACAAACATGCAGCTTCACACACATCACACAAACATGCAGCTTCACACACATCACACAAACATGCAGCTTCACACACATCACACAAACATGTGCTTGTGAGTACATACCTCATGCTCATCATAAATCATCACAGGCTTCTCGCTTGGGACATCCCAGACTCGGACTGAGCGGTCATTGGAGCCAGACATGACTCTCACCCGATCCTGCAGAAACCTGGTCACATTCACTGGGCTGAAATAACAATGTAGCAGCATATACAATACTGGAAATACAATACTGGAAATACAATACTGATATAGTACTGCATAAACAACATATACAATACTGCATAAACAACATAAACAATACTGCATAAGGCCAGACCAATTCTATTTCTTGCTGGTCGTATTTTTTCAAGAATAACTAAAAAACAAACAATTCCCTGTTCAAAAACTAAAATCCTAATGGTTTTATTAGCCAAAAATGTAAACTTACAAGAAAAATATTTTTAGATTGTATTTTGCCCCAAATACACTTCAAAAATTGCCAAAAGTAAAATACTTTTAGCATTTAGAAGGAATATTACTTTGACTGGTGATTTTATTTTTATTTTTATTCCCTCCTGCCATTAGGTTTTCTGAGAACAAAACTGTGTAAAACAAGAAATAAAACTGGTCTGGCCTAAACAACTTATACAATACTGGATTTGGTTGGTTGTTAAAGCCATACTCAGCAGTATTCCAGGTATATGGTGGCAGTCTGTAAATAAACAAGTCTGGACCAGATAATCCACTGATCAACACTGATACAATACTGCATAAACAACATATACAATACTGCATAAACAACATATACAATTAGTGCTGGAGCGATTAATCGTAGGGTCGGTTAATCGTTCTATCTAAGTCAAAATAAACGATTGTCGATTACAAATAAACTGCAGATCGATAATCGGAAATAATCATTATTTGGATTCACATACATTAAAACGTTTTATTCTACCTTGTCATGTTTTCTTATACCAAACACCCTGGTCGTCTATTGCTTGTTTACCTCTTAAACGGAAGCTGTGTACTACACAAGTGCGCATGCCTCCCCTGTCAGCCAATGGCAATGCTAGATATATTTAGATTGGGGTATCCTAATTCGTCATTAAAATACTACGAGTTGTAAAGTGATTTATAGAAATTAATCAATATTCATGAGCAAAACTGTGCAAACTCATTCGTCCAATCATGCAACAAAACGTCACAATACGATCCAGGTATTACAGGTTAGCTACTTTCTAATTGGCTGAAAGAGGGAATTCCTTGAGTTGCATTTGCATACAAACACTTGACTTTACGCAAGGCGGGTAAAATAGAGCTATTTTCAGTTTCATGAATTCTCTTGAACTTTCGATACTGCGCTAAATTATAATACTTCACAAATTAAATTTTGTGTTCAACCTTAAGGAAATGTCTTTGTTCACCCTTCAATATAAACAAAAAGGTTTTTTTAAAATGGCATGCCATGAAAATAAATCTACCAGCGAGGTCACATGACTAGTAGCGTGATCTTGTAAGGTGGGGTGTCAACTGAGCAGACGAAACATTAATGGCATCTTTGGAGTAAAGATTTAGGATTTTGTGCATTTAATTATGAGGTAGATATTGCATTAAGGATACCCGAGTTAAAATTAATCTTTTGTGGGTTTTAATACTGTTGCCTACGCATGGAAACTTGATTCGTAGCATATCGATGTCAGAACGATAGCGGGGATTGCCTTGTTGTCATTTGGGATGCTTCTCATGGATTTTCTCGCATTTTCACGCTATAAACGGGAATTGTAATGGCCGATCGAAAACACATAACATTCGGAAACGTAAGACGATAGGATACTTGATGATCCAAAGACGCTGCAAATGTAAGTAACTTGCTCAGCGTTAACAATTGGCACGTGCTGACAACATCCCGGAAGTTAGTTCGCTAATGTAGGTATTTGACTATGAAATAACCGTCCAAACAATTATATATAATCGATCGATTATCGATCTGACACTAGCGATTATCGATCTGACAAAATGTAACGATAACCAGCTCTATATACAATACTGCATAAACTACATATACAATACTGCATAAACAACATATACAATACTGCATAAACTACATATACAATACTGCATAAACTACATATACAATACTAGAAACATCAACCATAAACATAACTATACAGTGAATAATCACAGGTAACAATGTCATTTTGATATAACGGAACTCTCCCTGGTTTTAGATAAGACCTACTTTTTCATTACTTACTCAATAAACATGCCTATGATACAGTCACAATTGTACAAACTTCCTTACATATACCTGGACATCACATGTCACCTAAACTCAAAATACATCTTCAACCGTTATAATCACCCAACTCACCAACTGTGTTCCCTCAACTCAATTATGATATCCGCCCAACTCACCAACTGTGTTCCCTCAACTCAACTGTGATGTCCACCCAACTCACCAACTGTGTTCCCTCAACTCAACTGTGATATCTGCCCAACTCACCAACTGTGTTCCCTCAACTCAACTGTGATCCCGCCCAACTCACCAACTGTGTTCCCTCAACTCACCTGTGATGTGTCCATGCAACTCACCAACTGTATTCCCTCAACTCAAATGTGATATCCGCCCAACTCACCAACTGTGTTCCCTCAATTCAACTGTGATGTCCAGCCCAACTCACCAACTGTGTTCCCTCAACTCAACTGTGATGTCCACCCAACTCACCAACTGTGTTCCCTCAACTCAACTGTGATGTCCACCCAACTCACCAACTGTGTTCCCTCAACTCAACTGTGATATCCACCCAACTCACCAACTGTGTTCCCTCAATTCAACTGTGATGTCCACCCAACTCACCAACTGTGTTCCCTCAAAATGTGATGATGTCGCCCAATTCACCAACTTTGTTCCCTCAACTCACCTGTGATGTCCACCCAACTCACTGACTGTGTTCCCTCAACTCAACTGTGATGTCCACCCAACTCACCATCTGTTCCCTCAACTCACCTGTGATGTCCACCCAACTCACCAACTGTGTTCCCTCAAATGTGATGTCCACCAAGCTCACCAACTGTGTTCCCTCAACTCACCTGTGATGTCCACCAAACTCCGACTGTGTTCGCTCACCTGTGATGTCCATGCAACTCACCAACTGTGTTCCCTCAACTCAACTGTGATGTCCACCCAACTCACCATCTGTGTTCCCTCAACTGTGATGTCCACCCAACTCACCAACTGTATTCCCTCAACTCAACTGTGATGTCCGCCCAACTCCGTGTTCCCTCAATTCAACTGTGATGTCCGCCCAACTCACACCGTGTTCCCTCAACTCAACTGTGATGTCCACCCAACTGTGTTCCCTCAGCTCAACTGTGATGTCCACCAAACTCACCTGACTGTGTTCCCTCAACTGTGATGTCAGCCCACTCACCAACTGTGTTCCCTCAACTCAACTGTGATGTCCACCCAACTCACCAACTGTGTTCCCTCAACTCAACTGTGATGTCCGCCCAACTCACCAACTGTGTTCCCTCAACTCAACTGTGATGTCCACCCAACTCACCAACTGTGTTCCCTCAACTGTGATGTCCACCCAACTCACCAACTGTGTTCCGTCAACTCACCTGTGATGTCCATGCAACTCACCAACTGTGTTCCCTCAACTCAACTGTGATGTCCACCCAACTCACCATCTGTGTTCCCTCAACTGTGATGTCCACCCAACTCACCAACCGTATTCCCTCAACTCAAATGTGATGTGCCCAACTCACCGTGTTCCCTCAACTCAACTGTGATGTCCACCCAACTCACCAACTGTGTTCCCTCAACTGTGATGTCCATGATATCCGACTGTGTTCCCCAACTGTGATGTCCGCCCAACTCATCGACTGTGTTCCCTCACCTGTGATGTCCACCCAAATCACCAACTGTGTTCCCTCAACTAAACTCTGATGTCCACCCAACTCACTGACTGTGTTCCCTCAACTAAACTCTGATGTCCACCCAACTCACCAACTGTGCCCTTAACTCACCTGTGATGTCCACCCAACTCACCGACTGTGTTCCCTCAACTCACCTGTGATGTCCACCCAACTCACTGACTGTGTTCCCTCAACTCAACTGTGATGTCCTCCTAACCCGCCTGTCTTGTCCCCTGACCTTTAACTGTCCACCTAAGTCACAGACTGTGCCCCCTGTAACGTGTTTGTCTCCTACCAACTCACCCATCATGTCCTTTGAATACTCTGAGCATGGATCCACTGCTTGTGTCAAACAGTTTCACTTGGGCTTCATCACTTCCAGCAACAAGGAGACGACCATCATCTCGAAATGATCCACAATGTGCCACTTCACGGAACCGATTCAAAGTCACGAGTGATCTGATTGGTCTGTGAGCTGTAAATTTGTACCTGGAGAAGAGCAACAAAAACACATGCACTTTTTGGAAAACCGATGACTTTCCTTGTTTCCCCCCCAACCATGTCGGTGGTCAAGGACAAAGGTACGACAGATACAGATACACAGATACAGATGCTGGCGTAACATAGGTGACATAACATATGCAGTGAAATCATAAACAGATTACTGTTCTATGACAATATGCAATAGGTACAACTACCCACATTCATGAAAAGACAATACTAGCTATTGACAACGTTTCACATATATGTGAAGACACTCCAGATCATTAGATGGCATCAACAATGAATAACTAAAAAAATATATATTCATTAAGTGGGATAAAACTTGCTTATTCAGCTGTTGTCAGACACAACAGACACATGATTAGTTGTCTGAGAGCTACAGCCTTACACAGCCGGACACAGTATTCACATCGCCAGCTGTCGACAAGCTACAGACACAACAAACACATTACCAATTGTCTGAGAGCTACAACCCTACAGAGGCAGACACAACAGACACATCACCAGCTGTCTGAGAGCTACAACCCTACAGACAGACACAACAGACACATCACCAACTGTCTGAGAGCTACAACCCTCCAGACAGACACAACAGACACACTGTCTGAGACCCCCAGACAGACACAACAGACACATCACCAGCTGTCTGAGAGCTACAACCCCCAGACAGAGACACAACAGACACATCACCAATTGTCTGAGAGCTACAACCCTCCAGAAACAGACACAACAGACACATCACCAATTGTCTGAGAGCTACAACCCCCAGACAGACACAACAGACACATCACCAATTGTCTGAGAGCTACAACCCTCCAGACACACACACTGACAACAGACAGACACAACACATCACCAATTGTCTGAGAGCTACAACCCTCCAGACAGACACAACAGACACATCACCAACATCACCAATTGTCTGAGAGCTACAACCCTACAGAGGCAGACACATCAATTGTCTGAGAGCTACAACCCTACAGAGGCAGACACAACAGACACATCACCAGTTGTCTGAAAGCTACAACCCTACAGACAGACACAACAGACACATCACCAGTTGTCTGAGAGCTACAACCCTACAGACAGACACAACAGACACATCACCAGCTGTCTGAGAGCTACAACCCTCCAGACAGACACAACAGACACATCACCAGTTGTCTGAGTACACAGAAACTAACACACAAATTTGATCAATATAAATGACTGCCTGGCATACCATTAATAATACAAAATATATCACTTAATGTACTTAATGTACCATCATACTTGCTTATTACCGACCAACCAAAATGCTATAACAATCACAATCCTATATAACAATCAAATCATATCACAGTTTCACAACCCAACTTCCTCAGAAGTCGCTGTAATTTTACAAGAAATTAGCTTGCACAATATCATCGTAAAATGATCTAATGAATAATTCAAAAATGATAACCATTCTGACAACTTGGAACTTGATTGTGCAGATCTGGCTGACAAGAAATGTCATCCTATGAACTCACAACGACGCTTACTCAACTATTCAATTAAACAAATTGAATGAAATTGCATAAAAAAATAATTACTGAATCATTAGACTTGTGAACCTGAAAATACGATTTCACATCAATTCTCTTGATGGATACAACTCCGCCTAATCCAAGTCGAAATCAACCAAGGAATGGTCGCGACATTATTTATTCATGATCCAATGAAATAAATTTCATTGTGTGAAAGAGAACTCAGTTTCATTGCTACTGCTGAACAACAGGGACTGAAGCTGAACTGTTTTATCTACCGTGACCCCGTCCAGGTCATGCCGAGCATCACTAAGACACCCTCATCACAAAAAGCTTTCACTCAATAATCTTTCAAATACACTAAAGCTGCAGAACGGGACATTATTTATGTCATGTCATATTCATGTTATTATTACACAAGGGATTAATAAAGCGAGAAATTACAGACATAGGTGTCTGTTGGTGCTAAGAGAAAAGTAATTAAGTCGAACTCCATGTAATTAAAGAATGACTTAGTCCGGGAAGAGATAAACCCAAAGTATTTCTTATTACTGAGATATAGGATTGTATCTGTGCTGGGATCAATGCCTACACAATAGCCAGCAGATGGAGCCATGTCACAGCACTGGGTGTTGTCATCAGGAACGTCCTAATCACTCAGTAGACTTGGTACACACTCAGGGTGGACATGGGTCAATGAGCAGCGGTCGGCAAATGCTTGACTGGGTAAATAACGTTCTAAAAAAGCAAGCTAAGGAAGGAAATTTTCACTTACATAAACGTAAAATAGGTGTACATATGTAAGGCCTAAAAGAAACATGTTGTGGTTACGATTATCTGACCGTCCGAATTCTGGTGCTGACCCTATTTTCTGAAAGAAGTATGAATAAAATAAGCTTTCAGATACCATTGTTTTTCCCCGGCACCGACAGACATCGGTCATACTGATTGAGAAAGTCAATATGATGGCCGCAAGCTTGATTGAATAAACAATTACACATTGATAAATGTGTTATTAGTTTGTACTTACCTTTTAAAAAAAATATGTAAAAAAAAATCCTACCAACCTACCCTAAATTTTAAAGAGGTGTAATCAGAACCACAACATTTTTTTATTTGGCCTAATTGTGTACTTCAAACAAATCTTTGAGGACTTCAAACAAATCAGAAGATTATAGCTGTGGGAGATCATTCAGTGTAAAAAACTAAATCTTTCAAAAGGTAGGACCATTAGTGACTATTTGGCGAGGTCATTTGAGTTCACTGGGATGCATTATTTGTGCTAACTTGGGTGCATCATCTGTGTTAACCTGGGTAGATCATGTGTTAACGTGGGTACATCATTTGTGTTTAACCTGGGTGCATCATCTGTGTTAACCTGGGTACATCATTTGTGTTAACTTGGGTGCATCATCTGTGTTTAACCCGGTGCATCATCTGTGTTAACCTGGGTACATCATTTGTGTTAACTTGGGTGCATCATCTGTGTTTAACCGGGTGCATCATCTGTGTTAACCTGGGTAGATCATATGTGTTAACGTGGGTACATCATTTGTTTAACCCGGGTGCATCATCTGTGTTAACCTGGGTACATCATTTGTGTTAACTTGGGTGCATCATCTGTGTTAACCTGGGTGCATCATCTGTGTTAACCTGGGTACATCATTTGTGTTAACCTGGGTACATCATTTGTGTTAACCTGGGTGCATCATCTGTGTTAACCTGGGTACATCATTTGTGTTAACCTGGGTAGATCATTTGTGTTTAACCCGGGTGCATCATCTGTGTTAACCTGGGTAGATCATTTGTGTTTAACCCAGGTGCATCATTTGTGTTTAACCCGGGTGCATCATTTGTGTTAACTAGGGTGCATTATTTGTGAGGTGAGGTGAGGTGAAATTGGGTTAAACGTCGTGCTTGAGAATATTTCGCTCATATGACGACGTGCATGTTTGTGTATGTATGTATATATGCGGCTGCTTGTACTAGCACAGACTGAAGCTTGTTTTATAGTGCTAGCTCACTGAGATACCATGCCGCAGTGAAGCATGAATACCCCACTCAGACACATTATACTGACTCCGAGCTGACCAGTCCTTGATGTACCCATTGATGCCGAGCGCCAGGCAGAGACCAACAAGTACCATATTTTAACGTCTTTTGGTATGACGCTGTCGGGGATCGAACCCGCGACCTTCCGCTCTCCAGCGGACGTTCTAACCACTACACCACGGAGGCGGTCGCATTATTTCCGTTAACCTGGGTGCATCATCTGTGTTAACCTGGGTGGATCATTTGTGTCAACTTGGGTACATCATTTGTGTCAATTTGGATGCAACATCTGTGTTAACCTGGGTAGATAATTTCTGTTAACCTGGATGGATCATTTGCATTAAGTTGAGTAGATCATTTGAGCTAACCAGGGTGGATCATTAGAATTAACCTGGGTACATCATTTGTGTCAACTCCCATAGATCATTTATCTTAACTTCAATGTATCATTTGGTGTTCTTGGTATATCCTTTAGTGTTAGATCATTTGCATTAATTATGTGAATCTATGGGTAAAAGAGTCTTTATTTACTTCAAACCTCAAGGATCATAGAAATTCAAACTGATGGTGAATCAGCACTTCTGAGATTTTGATGGTGAGGAGAGTAGACTTGAAAGAGTTACTCCCAGATGAAGTAGCAGCATACATGAGTGTGATAGGCAGTGTGGACCAACATGTGTAAACACATGGGTCCGTGTTAACATACAGTCCCTGCCCCTTGCAGCAGGCTGATGGGAACAAATCACTCCCGGATGGGACAAGGATCTGCAGACTGCGGCCACCTATCATTGAAGAGAAGCCCCCTCAATTAATCACTCATTATTTACATTCCATGAACCGTGGCATCTACAACCAAGCTCACCAACATGGAGGCCAACAAACTCCCCTCAGATTAAATATCCCATCTGGCAAACAACCACAAACTTGAATATCTGTAATGTATCGCAGCCAATAGTCCTCATTTTCCCAACAAAAAAACGTGTCCCCCTTTTCGGGTTACAAGCAATCAAAGAAAAAGCACCAAGCTGGCACTCTAGGCAATGCCTTCCTCATTTAAATTGGTGTTGTGAAGGAATTATCTGCTGATAGAATCTAAATGGACTGCCAGGTCTTTGGGCCGATAAGGCGGCAAATGATACAAGTTGAGGAATACATCGCCATCAGATAAGACCTTGATAGGAAACTTCTACCTATCTTTACAAGCCTCATTGTTCAAAGCCATTACCATCTGTGGTTCTAGGCAAGGAAACTTCTGTAAACCTGCCGAGGTTTTGCTACCTCGTAAAACATTGTCAATTACTTGTGAACATGGCAAAGATTAAATAAACTTTCCTGGCCATTGACCTGGATATGTAAAGATACTGCACCTCTCCTGCTTGCTCTCTGTGAGGATTTTATCACACTGTCAGACTATGGTAAATTTCA